GATCGCGTGTGCAGGTACGACATTGCTCTTGCCATCTGCACGCCGAGGGAGCGGCTCTCGCCCCTCTGATCCCCGATCAACAAATCTCCCAGAGTCCCTGCGTCGGCATAGTCGAGAGCGAGGAACGGCGTCTCGCGCGGGGCGCATGCAAAGCCCATCACATAGATGATGTTCTCATGGTGTAGTGCTGCCGCGATCTGACACTCGGAGGCGAAGGCGCTGCTCGCGCGCAGCGGCTGCTTCACCGCGAGACGACCACCGTAGTGGCGGCCAAGCCTAACGGTGCCTTGGCCGCCCTTGCCGAGGCGACCCTGGCTGCTGCCAAAGGCGATGTCGCGCAGGGCGAGGCCGCCGTACCGGCTCGCGGTCGGCGCCAAAGGCGGGATCGGAGCGACGAGGCGAGGAGCAATTGTAGGTGGAAGAGCGGCGAGGGGCGGCGGAAGTGCCAAGCTCGGCTGCCTCGCGACGAGCAGGTGGCCCCTGCCGTGCTGGCCGAGGGCCCGTGGCCGAGGGACGGTAGACGGAATCGGGACGGTAGACGGAATCGGGACGGCAGGAGCAGCGTCAGGCACCGCGAGGGCGGCGGCCTCCGCTCTCGCGTTCTTGAGTCTGCGTCTGTACTCGACCTTCTCGGCCCTGCGGTCACGGCCCCGATCGCCCCTATCATCCGGATTGGCGCGTCTATACACGGCCTCAGCGCGTGCCTGCGCCGCGGATCGCTCCCTTTTCGGCATGTCGTTGCATGTCCAGAACCCAGTGTCGAGAGCGAAGGCGCGAGTGGTGACACGCCCGCAACCTTTGAGCACCTGCGTCCCCCACCAGACATAAATCGTCCCCCACCAGACATCGAAGTCAAATGTCAAAGACACCTCTAGGGACTGGCAAAGTGGGCTGCCACACTCACAAAGATGCAGAAAAAGGGGACACCGGCGTGACGTGGCCTCTCGACGGGTTTGTTGGAGAGCAGAATTTCGTTCGGTGCACGAACGAGCGAGCATGCACACACGAAATAAATGAATGTTTGCCGCGTGGGTACAGACGCAATTTAGTGGGTTCACGGAGGGTTAAGCGGGAGGATTGAATTCGTATCTCAGGGCAACCTTTTAGTGTACTAGTATCTAGACTAGAGAGCCGTAGTGACCGGCGCGCAGCGCCGAAGAAAATTTTGGCAGAAATCGCTTACAGAAATCGGCTGCTGGCTCGCCCGATTTCCCTCGCCGAAACAGAAATCGGCTGCTGGATGCCGACGCCCCGATTTCTATCGCCACGCCTCGCACTGTACCTTACTTGTACATGTACATGTGTGTGCAGAGAAGGTTTTGACTTTTGTGGTCATGTGGTGTATTGCGTGCGCAGCTTTTCGCAACAGCAAACCGGGCCTGCTCTCTCGAGTCTCACACTCCGGCCGTCACAGCCCTCAAAAACGGCGAGGTGGCGTTGTCCAGCCGCCAGCTGTCGTGCCACTCCACACGCACGCGCGAGGCGTTCTTCGGGTCTATCCAGAGCGGCAGCCACACGTACGTCCCCATTGAGTAGAGGTCGTCCGGCGTCCACCGGTCAGCCATGTAGATGAAGGGCGCGAGCGTCGGATGCAGCACCTCGTCGAAGAGGGGGTTGGGCAGGATGAACGTCGATTGCGACCCAAAGGCCCACTCTCCCGGCTGCCCGTCTGCCCTCCGGTTGCCATGCTGCCCCGGCTCCGGAATGGGCGGCGGGTCCCAGCCCACGAGCCACCCGCGGCTGTTGTTCAAGCCGCTCCGGTTGAAGGCGCCGAGCGGCGAGTCCGCCGTGTACAGGTGCGTGGTCGTCGGCGACCAGCCCGCCGTACCAGACGCCCACAGATAGTACTGGCCGCGAGCGTGAAAGACGGCCGGCGCCTCTCGGTTGGCTGTCTGGAAGAGCTGGTGGTCCGACTCGCGTCGCACG